AGTCTGCTGATAATATTGGATGAACCATAGATGTGTGGCTCCTATTGCATGATAGTATGATACTGCAATAGATGAACAACTTCCCAACAGGAAGGAGCGGGGACACCCCTCCGGGAACTGAATTTACCTGAGGGCCACTAACACTAGTGGCCTCGATGAGGGCAGTAAGCCCGCGGCTTATCAAAGGTCCCCCATTTGTCCTGATGATCTTTTCCAGCTTTATTTTAAAACCCACCAGAGGTTTGGCGTTTACTGCTTCGGCGGGTAGGCGGTTCCACTGGTTTACAACCCTGTGGGTGAAAAAGCATTCTGGCTTGTTGAGTGTGAACCCGTTGCTCCTTGTTCGTGTAACATCTGAACTTTTGAAGACATTGTCCTGATCGACATTCTCCAAATTGTTTAGTATTTTAAAGGTTTCTATGAAATCCGTCCTGTCATGCCTGGTTTGTGGTGTTAGCCCTGTGGCCCTCAACCGTTCCTGATACAACAGATGACTAAGCTCTGGTATGATTTTTGTCGTAAGACATAGCTCCATAGCTCTGGTAAGACATGGCTCCATAGCTCTAGTAAGACATGGCTCCAGAGCAGCTATGTCTTTCTGAAGATGAGGTCTCCATGCCTGGATGCAATAATTTATGTGGGGGCGCACCAGCTACAGTCTAAGTAGACCTAGGCGTGCGGTTACACAACTGGTCGGGGTCCGGTCACACAACTGGTCAGGCTCCGGTTACACAACTGGTCAAGCTTCGGTTACACAACTGGTCGGGCTCCGGGGGTGTCACTTGGGTTGTGCATGGTTGGGCTTCAGTTCATGCATGGTTGTGATCCAGAGGTTGTTTGGTTCGTTCATGCTAGGCTTGTGGTTACACAACTGGTCGGAGGTTTGGTTACACAACTGGTGGGGCTCCGGTTACACAACTGGTCGGGCTCCGGCTAAATAATTGGTCGGGCTCCGGTTACACAACTTGTCGGGTTCCGATTACATAACTCCAGGGATGTAACTTTTTTGGGCTTTGGGTTGTGCATGGATGTGCTCCGGTTCGTACATGGTTGTGCTCCGGTTTGTACATGGTTGTGCTCCAGTGGTTGTTTGTGTACTAGTGCTCCAGGTTTGTTTGCTAGGGCTCTGTTTATATGTTTGCTAGAAATTAGTTTTTTTTTTTTTTTTAGAAATATAGTTCAATTGTTTGCAATGGCTCCATAGTTGGTTTCTTGGGCAAGTGGAGGGTTTTAGGTAGCACTAAGAAGATTTTTGTTTGGTCGAGCTAGGAATGGAGTTTGGTTGTGCTTTGGGACTGTTTAGCTTGGTGGGGGTTGGATGAGATGTATACTTGCTAGGCTTACGGTTGCACAATTGGTCGGGGTCTGATTACACAACTGGTTGAGCTTCGGTTACACAACTGGTCGGGCTCCGGTTAAATAACTGGTCGGGCTCCGGTTAAATAGCTGGTCGGGCTCCGGTTAAATAACTGGTCGGGCTCCGGGGGTGTCACTTGGGCTGTGGGTTGTGCATGGTCAGACTTCGGTTCATGCATGGTTGTGCTTCAGCGGTTGTTTGTGTATTAGTGCTCCAGGTTTGTTTGCTAAGGCTCTGTTTATATGTTTGCTAGAAATCCGGGTTTCTTTTTTTGTTCATAGTTCAATTGTTTGGTCGAGCTAGGAATGGAGTTTGGTTGTGCTCTGGGACTGTTTAGCTTTGTGGGGGTTGGATGAGATGTATACTTGTTAGGCTTAAGGTTAGACAACTGGTCGGGGTCCGGTTACACAACTGGTCGAGCTTTGGTTACACAACTGGTCGGGCTCCGGTTACATAACTGGTCGGGCTCCGGGGGTGTCACTTGGGCTTCGGGTTGTGCATAGTCGGGCTTTGGTTCAAGCATGGTTGTGATCCAGAGGTTGTTTGGTTCGTTCGTGCTAGGTTTGCGGTTACACAACTGGTCAGGGTCCGGTTACACAACTGGTGGAGCTCCGGTTACACAACTGGTCGGGCTCCGGTTAAATAACTGGTCGGGCTCCGGTTACACAACTGGTCGGGCTCCAGTTAAATAACTGGTCGGGCTCCGGGGGTGTCACTTGGGCTATGGGTTGTGCATGGTCGGGCTTCCGTTCGTGCATGGTTGTGCTCCGTTTCGTACATGGTTGTGCTCCGGGTCGTACATGGTTGTGCTCCAGTGGTTGTTTGTGTACTAGTGCTCCAGGTTTGTTTGCGAGGGCCCTATGTTTATATGTTTGCTAGAAATTCGAGTTTCTTTTTTTTGTATATAGTTCAATTGTTTGATATGGCTCCATAGTTGGTTTCTAGGGCAAGTGGAGGGTTTTAGGTAGCACTAAGAAGATTTTTGTTTGGTCGAGTTTGGTTGTGCTTTGGGACTGTTTAGCTTGGTGGGGGTTGGATAAGATGTATACTTGCTAGGCTTACGGTTGCACAATTGGCCGGGGGTCTGATTACACAACTGGTTGAGCTTCGGTTACACAACTGGTCGGGCTCCGGTTAAATATCTGGTCGGGCTCCGGTTATATAACTGGTCGGGCTCCGGTTAAATAACTGGTCGGGCTCCGGGGGTGTCACTTGGGCTGTGGGTTGTGCATGGTCAGGCTTTGGTTCATGCATGGTTGTGCTTCGGCGGTTGTTTGTGTACTAGTGCTCCAGGTTTGTTTGCTAAGGCTCTATGTTTATATGTTTGCTAGAAATCCGGGTTTCTTTTTTTGTTTATAGTTCAATGGTTTGGTCGAGCTAGGAATGGAGTTTGGTTGTGCTCTGGGACTGTTTAGCTGTGTGGGGGTTGGATGAGATGTATACTTGCTAGGCTTAAGGTTAGACAACTGGTCGGGGTCCGGTTACACAACTGGTCGAGCTTTGGTTACACAACTGGTCGGGCTCCGGTTACATAACTGGTCGGGCTCCGGGGGTGTCACTTGGGCTTCGGGTTGTGCATAGTCGGGCTTTGGTTCAAGCATGGTTGTGATCCAGAGGTTGTTTGGTTCGTTCATGCTAGGTTTGTGGTTACACAACTGGTCAGGGTCCGGTTACACAACTGGTGGGGTTCCGGTTACACAACTGGTCGGGCTCCGGTTAAATAACTGGTCGGGCTCCGGTTAAATAACTGGTCGGGCTCCGGTTACACAACTGGTCGGGCTCCGGTTACACAACTGGTCGGGCTCCGGTTAAATAACTGGTCGGGCTCCGGGGGTGTCACTTGGGCTATGGGTTGTGCATGGTAGGGCTTCCGTTCATGCATGGTTGTAATCCAGAGGTTGTTTGTATGGTTCGTTCATGCTAGGCTTGCGGTTAGACAACTGGTCGGGCTCCTGTGTCACAACTTGTCGGGTTCAGATTACATAACACCAGGAGTGTGACTTGTTGGGCTTTGGGTTATACATGGTTGTGCTCCGGTTCGTACATGGTTGTGCTCCAGTGGTTGTTTGTGTACTAGTGCTCCAGGTTTGTTTGCGAGGGCCCTATGTTTATATGTTTGCTAGAAATTCGAGTTTCTTTTTTGTGTATATAGTTCAATTGTTTGCTATGGCTCCATAGTTGGTTTCTTGGGCAAGTGGAGGGTTTTAGGTAGCACTAAGAAGATTTTTGTTTGGTCGAGCTAGGAATGGAGTTTGGTTGTGCTTTGGGACTGTTTAGCTTGGTGGGGGTTGGATGAGATGTATACTTGCTAGGCTTACGGTTGCACAATTGGTCGGGGTCTGATTACACAACTGGTCGAGCTTCGGTTACACAACTGGTCGGGCTCCGGTTAAATAACTGGTCGGGCTCCGGTTAAATAACTGGTCGGGCTCCGGTTAAATAACTGGTCGGGCTCCGGTTAAATAACTGGTCGGGCTCTGGGGGTGTCACTTGGGCTGTGGGTTGTGCATGATCAGGCTTCGGTTCATGCATGGTTGTGCTTCAGCTTTGGTTTGTGTACTAGTGCTCCAGGTTTGTTTGCTAAGGATCTATGTTTATATGTTTGCTAGAAATCCGGGTTTCTTTTTTTGTTTATAGTTCAATTGTTTGGTCGAGCTAGGAATGGAGTTTGGTTGTGCTCTGGGACTGTTTAGCTTTGTGGGGGTTGGATGAGATGTATACTTGCTAGGCTTACGGTTGCACAATTGGCCGGGGGTCTGATTACACAACTGGTTGAGCTTTGGTTACACAACTGGTCGGGCTCCGGTTAAATAACTGGTCGGGCTTCGGTTCCTGTATATTTGTGCTTCGGATGTTGTTCGATTCATTCATTCTAGGCTTGCGGTTCCACAACTTTCAGGGTCCAGTTACACTACTGGTCGGGGTCTGATTACACAACTGATCGGGGTTTAGTTACACAACTGGTTGGGGTCTGGTTACACAACTGATCGTGGTCCGGTTACACAACTGGTCGGGGTCCGGTTACACAACTGGTCGGGCTCCGGTTACACAACTGGTCGGACTCCGGTTACACAACTGGTCGGACTCCGGTTACACAACTGGTCGGGCTCCGGTTACACAACTGGTCGGACTCCGGTTACACAACTGGTCGGACTCCGGTTACACAACTGGTCGGGCTCCGGTTACACAACTGGTCGGACTCCGGTTACACAACTGGTCGGGCTCCGGTTACACAACTGGTCGGGCTCCTGGGTTTCACTTGGGCTTCAGGTTGTGCATTATCCTCTTTGTGTAATGAAATTTTAAAATAAAGTTAGATATATATACACACATACTAAAAGAATATAGGGGTGGTAGGAGAAGAAAATATAAAAGTGTACAGTGAGGATCCACAAGGTCTTCTCTGGGTACTCTTTATGTTCTTCTCCGAGGCTATGGGTCCCTACACTTGCACCAGCGGTGGTACCCCTTTTAGGTTAAAAAAAAATATACGTATGTATATTTAGTCCCGTATCAGTCACTAAATAAAAAATTGGGCTACTCTTATTACAAATTCGCTACTTTTAGACCGTCAGCTCGCTACTTTCAGCAATTTGTATCTGGCAACACTGGACAGGTTGTGTGTAAACCATTTTTCATTCATAAACAGGGGGGTTTGGAGGTGCATGGAATCACTTTTGTGTCCTTGTTTGGAGGACGGGTTTATTTACCAGCCCGTCCTCCAAATTTGTATTTGTAGTAGGTGTCCAGACGTCCGCCCGACGTCAAGGGTGAACCAGGAGTCTCTGATCGTAACATAACTGAAAAGAACTCTGATCAGAGTTCTCAACTTGCGGCCAACTTGCTTCATTGGGCGGCCACACGGGCGAGGGTAAACATCAGGGTTGAGACTGAGACGGCTGACAAGCAGCAGGTGGTGCTCAGGTGACGAGCAGCAGCTGCTGGTACTCAGGTAATTACCTAAGGTGACGAGCAGCAGCTGGTGGTGCTCAGGTGACAAGCAGCAGGAGGTGTTCAGGTGACGAGCAGCAGCTGGTGATACTGTACTCGGGTGACAAGCAGCAGGTGGTGTTCAGGTGACGAGCAGCAGCTGGTGGTGCTCAGGTGACAAGCAGGTGGTGGTGCTCAGGTGACGAGCAGCAGGTGGTGCTCAGGTGACGAGCAGCAGGTGGTGCTCAGGTGACGAGCAGCAGGTGGTGCTCAGGTGACGAGCAGCAGGTGGTGCTCAGGTGACGAGCAGCAGGTGGTGCTCAGGTGACGAGCAGCAGGTGGTGCTCAGGTGACGAGCAGCAGGTGGTGCTCAGGTGATGAGCAGCAGGTGGTGTTCAGGTGACAAGCAGCAGGTGGTGCTCAGGTGACAAGCAGCAGGCGGTGCTCAGGTGAATAACAGCAGTAGTGTTTAGCTGACGAGTAGATTTTGCGTGAAGATTGTGTTCAGGTGACATGTAGCAAGTAGTGCCTACCCGACGAGTAGCAGGTGATGAGCAGCAGGTGGTGCTCAGCTGACGAGCCACAGGTTGCGCTCAAGTAAAACCTAACCTAGATGTGCCCGCAGGGTTAAGCTAGGCTCCTAACTCCGCCTTGCGAATGTTCGCATATTAAGGCAATGACTCATTTCTTTCACTTTTATCGTATTTACATTACAAAAATTGAATTTAATTAGCTTTCAAAACTTCTGCATCTAACCTATTCCACTTTATTAACAGCTCAACCAAAAAAAACAAAAAACAAATATTTATTCAGGTAAAGTACATACATACAAGGTGAGATACAAAAAGTTGATGGATTTATAGATAGAGCTAGTACATACAATGCCTAAAGCCACTATTACACAAAGTGTTTCGGGCAGGAAAAACAGTAAGACTAAAACTAATACTAATTGAGATTAAAGCATAAATTGTGTTGAGAAAAAAAATGAAAAAAAGAGGGGGGGGGAAATATGGCAGAAAAAAAAATACAATTTGGTCAACAAACAGCATTGTTTCAAGTAGTAGACAGGGGTTGACATTTTGGGGGTGAGGTAGGTTACATGGAGTTAATAAGGTAGACTGAAACCACTGAAAAAGTTCTTCCTGATATCCCTAGGAGTCATTTGTTTCCAGTTGAAATCTATGACCCCCCTTGTTCTGCTGTTCCTAGCTTTGAACAACATTACTTTGTCAATTTCCTTTAGAATCTTATATGTTATGTCCACCAATCTCTCCTTTCCTCCAGTGTGGTAAGATCCAGTTCTCGGTCTTTCCTCATAGCACAATCCTCTCACTCTGGAACGAGACTCATTGCATATCTTTGGACCTTTCCTAATTTCTTCTTGTCCTTTTTCAAGTAAGGGTTCCATGCTGGAGATGCATATTCAAGAGTGAGCCTCACCTTTGCTGTACATAGGGCCCAGAAAGCCCCTTTGTCCAAGTTTCTGAAAGCTATGTGGATGTTGGCAAGTTCACCTGAGAGCCACTAAACCTAGTGGCCTCAACAAGGACAGGAAGCCAGCAGCTTGTTGAAGGTCCATTTGCCTTGAGGATTTTTTCCAGCTGTACTTTAAAAGTTAACAGAGTTTTGGCATTTACAGCTTTGGCAGGTAGGCAGTTCCATGGGTTTATAACCCTGTGGGTGAAAAACCACCACCTGTTCTCAGTCCTACATTGTGGCTTGTTGAGCTTGAAACCGTTGCTCCATGTTTGTGTTGCATTTGACCTTTAGAAGAAATTTTCTGGATCAACATCCTCCAAGCTGTTTAGTATTTTAAGTTTCAATAAGATCCACCCTGTCATGCCTGGTTTGCAATGTTGTTCGCCTGTGGCCCTCAACCATTCCTGATAAGTGAGTTGACGTAGCTCTGGAATGATTTTTGTTGCCCGGTATTCCACATTCTCTAGATTCTTCTGAAGATGATGTCTCCATACTTGGATACAGCAATTGAAATGGGTGCACACCAGAGCTTTATACAATTGAATCACTACCTTCTTTTCCTTGAAATTGAAGATTTGCTTGATTATTCCAAGCCAAGATAAATATTCTAAAATATTCCAAGTATGCCAATTGCAGCTATGTATTGCTATTCTGCTTATGTGGGCTTCTGGCATCAAACTTGCGGTTATGCCCACTCCCAGGTCCTTCTCTTGTCCTGACTGAAGAATTTGTCGTGCCCTCATCCTATACTGCTGTACTGGCTTTCGCACTCCTGTACCAATCCTCATAACTTTGAATTTGACTGGGTTAAATTTTAATAAAGAGGCTAAGAAATATTTACTTAATATGTAATTAATATATGCTCAATATCATGTAACTAATTTCTTACACATTTCTGCTAACTTGAATTTATTATTGTGGTACAGTAATTCATTTCTTAAATGCTTTTTACTAATAAATAGGTAATTTCTTCATTGTCATCTAATTTTTGCATTTAATTTATAAAGTGTTTACTCGTGTCCTTTTTTTATTCTTGTATATTTTAAATGTTGGCACTGTTAAGGATTTATCTGAAATGCTATGCATGCTAGTGGCTGTACAAGAATGTAAGAACTCTTGTATATTGTATATAAATAAATAACAAAAATTCACAACTTTTTTTTAAATTATCTAATGTTTGCAGAAAGAAACATAAGTGGAATTAACAAGAAAAGGCAGATAGAATGGGAAATTCCAGTGTGAAAGAAGCTACTGAGAAAGCCGAAGGTGATCGTAGTCTAGATCTTTCTTGCAAATTCACTCCGAGTCAATATCTCAAGGTTAGTCTTATCGCTTGCTCCTTTACTTCAGAATTTTTTTTCTCTTGATTTTAGTATAGGCACCTGTACAAGCAGTATTCAATTCTTGTTATAATTTATAACCAAAGATTACACAGTGGATTCTTATGTATTTAAGTATATCTTAATTAAAATATTGTCTCATATTGCTATTACGGTATTTGATCAATTCTGTGTCTGTTTTTCACAATTCTTTGGTGACAAATATGGTTGCAAATTTAGCTGTCATTTTCGAAAATTATATTGCTCATGTACTGATAATGTTTTTCAGCACACATCTGGAGAATTTATTGAAGGGTGCCTGTCTGCTCTGCCATGGGAGATATATTACAACGCTGTCTCCATGTATGAGATAGTAAATGCAAGTTTTAATTTCATAAATGAAGTAAGTGCAAAGCACGTGTTGTGTAATTACCTAAGTGTAGTTACAGGATGAGAGCTACGCTCGTGGTGTCCTGTCTTCCCGGCACTCTTTGTCATATGACGCTTTGAAACTACTGACGGTATTGGCCTCCACCACCTTCTCACCTAACCTGTTCCAATCATCTACCACTCTGTTTGCGAAAGTGAATTTTCTTATATTTCTTTGGCATCTATGTTTAGTTAGTTTAAATCTATGACCGCTTGTTCTTGAAGTTCCAGGTCTCGGGAAATCTTCCCTATCAATTTTATCAATTCCTGTTACTATTTTGTATGTAGTGATCATATCATCTCTTTTTTCTTCTATCGTTTAGTTTTGGCATATTTAATGCCTCTAACCTCACCTTGTAGCTCTTGTCCTTCAGTTCTGGGAGCCACTTAGTGGTTATGTCTTTGCACCTTTTCCAGTTTGTTGATGTGCTTCTTTAGATTTGGGCACCATACAACCGATGCATATTCCAGCTTTGGTCTAACAAAAGTCGTGAACATTTTCTTTAGTATTTTCCCATCCATGTATGTAAAAGCAATTTTGAAGTTAGAAAGTGTAGCATAGGCCCCTCGCACAATGTTCGTAATGTGATCCTCAGGTGATAGTTTTCTATCTAGAACCACCCACTAGATCTCTTTTTTTATCAGACTTCTTTAAAGATTTCTCACATAATTTATAGGTTGTGTGGAGTCTCTTTTCTCCTATTCCACATTCCATAACATGGCATTTATTTACATTAAATTCCATTTGCCAAGTGGTGCTCCACTTACTTATTCTATCCAGGTCTTCTTGAAGGGTATGACAATCAACTAAATTACTTATCTTCCCTATTATCTTAGCATCATCAGGACACGTGTTCATATAATTCTGTATTCCATCTGGTAGATCGTTTATGTAGACAATGAACATTACCAGTGCAAGAACTGAACCCTGTGGTACTCCACTTGTGACATTTCTCCAGTCTGATACACTTCCTTTTATTACTGCCCTAATTTTTCTATGTCAGAAAATTTTTCATCCATGTTAGCAGCTTACCTGTCACCCCTCCAATGTGTTCCAGCTTCCAGAGCAAACTCTTATGTGGAACTCCGTCTAAAGCCCTTTTTAGGTCCAGATAGATGCAGTCAACCCAACCATCTCTCTCTCTCCTGTAAAATCTCTGTGGCTCGATCATAGAAACTGAGTAAATTCGTTACACAAGATCTTCCAGATCAAAAACCATACTGATGGTCTGATATTATTTCGTTTGTCTTCAGGTGTTCTACCCATTTAGTTTTAATTATTTTTTCCAATATTTTTACTATTACACTTGTCAACAATACAGATCTATAATTGAGGGGGTCTTCCCTGCCACCATTTTTCAGATTGGAACTGTTAGCTTTTTTTCCACACATCTGCTAGGACTCCTGTACACCGGGATGCCTGAAAAATCAGTTGAAGTGGAATGCTCAGCTCAGGTGCACATTCTCTTAGAACTCATGGTAAAACTCTATCTGTGCTAACTGCTTTGTTTTTACTTAGCTCTTTGAGCATTTTTTCCACTTCATCTCTAGGCACCTCTTATGTATTCTATGTTGTTCTCTGGAATTCTTATTGTCTGATTCTCTGAAGATCTCATTTTGTACAAACACACTTTGGAACTTTTTGTTTAATGTTTCACACACTTCCTTTTCATTTTCTGTGAATCTGTTTCCCATTTTCATCCTCTTAATATTATCCTTTACCTGCAATTTGTTATTGATGAATTTATAGAATAAGTGTCATTCTGTTTTACATTTGTCCGCTATCACTTTCTCAAAATTTCTTTCTGCCTCTCTCCTCACTGCTGTGCAGTTGTTTCGCACATCTTTGTATCGCTGGTATGTTTGGGGGAAATTTGTTGTCAAGGTTTGTTCTTATGTTTGGGGGTTTGGCCTCTCCCTATATTGATTCCATTTTTGTGTCTTTTGGTCTCTGGCCCTCTCGCAATTTCTGTTGAACCAATCCTGTTTCCTAGTTCTGCATCTCTGCTTTGGTATAAATTTTTTGGTGCCTTTATCATGTATTTCACAAAACTTGAAATACATCTCATTTACTTCCTTGCCTAACAGCAGTCTTTCCAGTCAAATTCCTTAAAGAAATCTCCAAGTTCACCATACTGTCCTCTCCTAAAATCAGGGTTTTCAACTACTTCAACTTCCTCATTTTCTTCCAGATTATAATGCATTACATAATTTATTCCCAAAAAGACATGGGCACTTTTACCCAAGGAAGGAAGGTACTGAATGTCAAATATCTCCTTGTTTTCTGGTAAATATCAAATCCAGCATGGAGGGAACATCCCCTTCCCTCATCCTCAAAGCTTGTTTAAGTGAACAGTCACACAGATAACCTCTTGCAGATGTTTAACAGATTTGCCTTAAACCAGCAAATAGTAGAACCAACTAAGAAAGAAAACACCTTAGATCTTATCTTTACAAACAATGATGGACTGATTAAGGACATGATTACAAATACATGTTACTCAGATCATAACCTAATTGAAGTTCAGACAAACATGGGCAATAGACCTGTGCAACCAATCTTAAACTCATGAGGAGGAGAATTCAGCAAACTCCATTTCGATAACAAACAGATTAACTTGGAACAAATAAACCAAGCCCTCACAGAAATATGTTGGGAAAGACAGCTAGATAATGCAAACCAGTGCTTTGAGAAAATAGGCACAGTAGCACTAGAAATATGTGCAAGTAGCATACAGTACCACTAAGGTCTCCGTGGTGTAGTGGTAAGACACTCACCTGGCGTTCCGCGAGCGCTATGTCATGGGTTCGTATCCTGGCCGGGGAGGATTTACTGGGCGCAAATCCTTAACTGTAGCCTCTGTTTAACGCAACAGTAAAATGTGTACTTGGATGAAAAAACGATTCTTCGCGGCAGGGGATCGTATTCCAGGGACCTGCCCGAAACGCTACGTGTACTAGTGGCTGTACAAGAATGTAACAACTCTTGTATATATCTAAAAAAAAAAGGTGAAAGAGAAAAAGATGCAAACTGGAACGAGAATGGCGTTCCCTCAATAAGCAACGAAACCAAATTTGCAGAATATCTTAAATGCTCAACTCTATCCCAGGAATGACAAAGAAGGTTACATAGAGAAATAAAAACGGTTGAGCTAAAGTTACAAGCAGCAACCACTTTGTGTGTGTGTTAGGTTTTCTAGGTTGTAGCAGTCTAGGTTGTGTGCCCAGTTGGAGGCCATGAAGCCTCCAACTGCCTAAGCGCTTTACTTCCATGCTCTGGGAAGCAGTGGCCATGTTCTTCACTGCCTGACTCGTGTCGACAGGCTGTTGACCCAGTCTCTTGATTCAGCATGGCCATTTGACTGTCCAACATCCTTGCAGACAGTCTATCCCAGTTCCTTGCCATTTCCACAGAGTGGATTGTCGATGCTGCCTCCTTTCTGTGGTTTTGCGAGACGTTCAGGCGCCAGGAGAAGACCCTCTTCATGTCAATGTGGTCTCGGCACCTTTCTATGTATGTGGCCCCATTCCTCGATTGCGAAGCCCTTATGGTAGATGCCTTTTGGATGGACTGGTCAAGGTGGGGGTTCCTGTACCACTTCCACCCAATCCGGCTGTTGTTCTGGGTCCTGGCCAGGTTAGAGTCCTACCCCAGGAAGGTGATCCTTCTTGCTCCTTGTTGGCTGGCTCAGTCTTGGTTTCAGGTGCTACTTGGTTGGTGTCCAAACCCAGGGTTTTTTCTGTGGCTCCGACTCTTCCAGAGGGTTGGCCCAGTGATATACAGTACTTCGATGATTCTGCCTTTTTTTCCTGTCTTCAAGTCTGTTTTTTCTGATGGGGGTCTATTGCCTTCTTTATGGTGAGCAACATCATCGTTGATGATGTTCCACTTGTGTGCTTCGACATAGCAACTTTTTGCCACTTCCTTTCTCTTTGTCATTGTTCTTTGGTTTAAGTGCGAGTGATACTTCCTTTCTGTCCTGACTTTTTCTTGATCGGTATCTCATGTTGAATACTATTGTCTCATATCAAGCAGCGCTGGGGGAGCCTCAACAGCTTGAATTCGAGATCTCTACTACCTCGGCACCATTTTGCAACCTGTCTTGTGTATTGTTTCACCTCTGGTCTGCTCATGGGCCTCCTGAGCCTGCTTGGTCTCTTGAACGTGTTGTTTTGTTTCTTCATTTGGCTCGGTTTATGGTGTCCCCTTCGGTCTGTGATTGTTTTCTTGTAGTATTCGTTTTTGGTTGCCTTTGTTTTCTTTTGTAGTGTGGGGGAGCTTCATGCTCTCGTCCAGAGGTTGGTGTTTTGTATTTTTTGGCCCTAGTGAGTGGTTTGTTCATTTGCAGCTGGCTCCGCCTATTCTGGTGAAGAGTAAGTCATTTATCTTCCAGAGATGTACGTTGGTTATTGATGCTTGGCTGGTTCGGCTGGAGGTGCGTCATGTATTGTGTCCCTGTTCCATGGCTCGTATTTCTCAGGTAGTCTGCAATATTATTAAGAATAGCAAGCCTGTGGTCTACCCCCGTGCCCATTATGTTAGAAAGTACTGCTCTCTCACAAGTATTTGGGAATGTCCTGGGCCGATATTATGGCGTGAGGAGTTTTGTAAGTCGAACAGGGTTCTGGTGGCTCGATATCTTGTTAATGTGTCCAGGCCCTAGTGCTCTTGTGTGGCTTTGGGTTGTCTTTATCATCTGGATGTCTTCTTTGTCCTGACTCCTGAGGTGCTTTCTCCTCCATTGTAAGTGCCCATTTGTTTTCCCTCTTTGGGGAAGCCTCAAGGGTCTACCTGAAGAAATCCAGTGTTGATTGTAATGAAACACCAATTTTTAATGTTTTGGTGATGGAGGGTCTCCATCAAGAGGATGGAGACCCTCCATCCCTCCAAATCGTCAGGGTGTTAGTTACATTTACTAAAGGTAGAGTGTCCGGCTGGCTGCGAGCTTCTTTTGTCCTCCCCCAAGCGAGTGGGGAGGTGGGGTAAATAAGCTGGAGAAATATCGATAATTTTTTTACATGATTCGAGGAGTTCTTTCAGAGTTTTTAAGAGGCTGCAGTCTCTACTGAATCAAGCAGTGGTGTGTTTTGTCTCTCTGACTTTCTCGTTGCTTCCCCAGTGCTTTCATAAATAAATATATAAATTACACTGCTCCCTGCAACTCTGTGCAGGGGACCAGGTTCTGGCTGTGGTTTCCAGTAGGCCTATAGAACTTTGTATCTGATGTGATCTAATAGTGATACTGTACACTGTCAGTGATAGTAGCTTCAGGGAGCCACTGGCACTCACCCAGAAATTGGTATTTCATTACTGTGCATATAATGTTGGTTTTATTAACTTTAGATTCCAGAGGAGCTAAGTCTTCACGTACCTCATCTCCGGTGTCTGAATATTAGTCACAACCAGATCACCAACCTTCCTAGCTCCTTCAATCTTCTGCTGCATCTCCGAGTGCTGGACCTATCACATAACAAGTTGAGGGTATTACCTGACCCTATTACCCGCTTACCACAGCTTCATACCCTCAATGTGGCCAATAACTGTCTTGGTGAACTTCCAGCAACTGTGTCAAAGCTCCAGAATGTGAGTATGGTACCATATTTGCATGAATAAAAAGCTGTACATTTCTGTAGGGAGCCCCGTTGGCTCCCAGAAGCTATCCAAACTGACATGGGCAACATTAGTTTGTGGTCATCTGTCACGGGAATTCTTCATGCCTGCCAGGAACCACGAGCCAGAACCTGATCCCTTCAGAGAGGTGCAGGGAGCAATGGCCTATAAGCACTCTACATGTAGAGTATGTCATACTTACCATCAACCGAGAAGGGCACCCAGAAAGATAAGTGAAACAAAACAGACCACAAGTCACAAGTATGTGCCGATCCTCCAGGAGGCGATTTCCGTGGTTTTTCATCTCTCATCTCGTGTGTCGGCAGGCCGTTTTTGCTCTCTTTGTATTTAGCTTGGGCCCTGGATTTGCAGTCTTTGTCTCTATTCTGTCCTCTTTTATTTCTGGAGGACTATGTTGCAGTTTTTGTCGGCGGTTTCAACCTGTTGCCGCCCCATTTCCGACTTGTTGGATCTCCAGGTGGATCATTTTAGGACCTCTCGGGGTGGTCGTGCCAGGGCTCGGGTTTCATTGGGTCGAGGTGGGCGGCCTTTGTTGCCAGTTTCTGATCTGGTGTGTTTCCCCGGAACCGTCTTCGTCTGGTCAGCGTAGAAGTTGGCTTCTTGGAGGTCACGTCGGCCCTTTCACGGATCGCCCCATTGACGGGTCAATGAGGGGGAGGGGGGGAAGAGGCTGGCCCGGTTTGCCCACGCTTTGTCTCACGATTTGTTGGATTTTTGGGTCGTCTCTTTCAGCCTTTGGTGGTGTTGGGCAGCTCTTCCTTCTGTAGGGGGGCTAAGTTTGGTGGGGCAGGCCTCTTCCCATCCCGTGGGTTTGTTTGGGCGTGGTCAAAAACAACTTCGTCTCTCAAGTAGGTTTCCCGCTTGTTTCCAGTTCTGAAACGGGACTGTGCGGATCTTTTGTTCATTCTGGACTTGTCCGGTCTGAACCTTTTGATTCCTTGCCCCTCTTTTCGGATGATCACGTTATCCCAGGTCCAGCTTCTTCTCGAGCCGGCATCTTGGATGATTTCTCTGAACCATAGGGAGGCTTATTGGCATGTTCCTATTGGTCCAGGGTTCAGATATTGGTTGGGGTTTGTGGTGGGGCAACAGGCATACTGCTTTTGTTGTCTTCCATTTGGCTTGAATCTTGCGCCTCGCATTTTCACGCATTTATCCATGGTTGTGGTGACCCGTTTGCATCAGCTAGGGCTTCGGGTTCTGGCCTTCCTCGATGGCTGGTTGGTGTGGGCTCCCAGCCGGTCTTCGTGTCTGCTAGCCAGGGATCTGGTTAGGGTTCCTGATGAATTGGCGGAAGTCCTAGTTGGTTTCGTTTCAGGTTCGGACTTGGCTGGGCCTCGTGTGGGATTCGCGGATGGCGTCCATTTTTCCCTATTGCAGTGTTGCTCTGGTTGCGGTCCTGCCTTCAGCTGTTTTTGAGGGGGACCCAGGTCACTTGGTAGTTGCTCGAGCAGTTGTGCAGTAACCTGAACTTTGCCACGCTGGTTTACCCGCTAGGCAGGGTTTGACTTCAGAGGCTGTTCTGGTATCTTCAGGGCAGCCACTTTTACCACACTCACGACAACTGGGTTTGTTTCCCGTGGTCCTTGCGTTGGTTGTTGCATCTCCGGCTTCCTCTTAAGATTTTTCGGGGTTCAGTGCCATGGCACCTTTCCCTTCCCGCACTCGATGTGTTCATGGACACTTCGTCTCTCGGCTGGGCCTTTATGACCAGCGCTTTCCAGGCAAGCCAGAGACATTGGGCGCCGTCCTTCTGTCCGGCTCATAGCACTGTGTGGGAGTTTGCGGCTGTGTGGCTGGAGTCTGCAGGAGATTCAGCTTTCCTTATCTGTGGGTAGTTAGTATCAGGGAGCCAACGAGGCTCTCCACAAAAAACCAGCGTTGAATGTAATGAAACCCCATTTTCTGGACGAGCCCTGGAGGCTCCCTGACCCCCTCCCTCCCTTCGGTTGGTGGTTTCATCATTCTAGAACTGAGCAGGTGAGCCCCCGGATTGCCTGGGCAGGCTCCTCCTCCCCCCCCCCTCTCCCCTTAGGAAGGGTGCCAACGAGTGAATGTGCCAGTTGGGCAAAGTGTTGCTTGTTTTTTTTTTTTTTTGGGGGGGGGAAGGTTTTTTGCGTTGTTTGGACGTAGGTTGCAAATTTTACCAGCTTGTGGTCTGTATTGTTTCGCCTATCTTTCTGGGGGCCCTTCCCGGTCACTGGCAAGTATGACATCAGTACTCTAAATGTAGAGTGCTCATAGGCCATTGCTCCCTGCACCTCTCTGAGGGGACTAGGCTCTGGCACGTAGTTCCCAATAGGCATAAGGAACTCCCATGGGTGATGACCCCAAACTAATATTGCACATGTCAGTTTGGATAGCTTCAGGGAGCCTCCGGGACTCGCCCAGAAAATGGTGTTTCATTACATTCAACGCTGGTATTTTTCACACAAAAAATTGCAAAAGTTGAGTGCAGCTTATGCTAGAATTCATTTTGTTTTTTTTTAAGCTTTCTCAACATCCTTCACTGGTCATCTTAACCCAAATGATCCCCATCACCATTACCACATCATTGTAGGTCCTCGCCACCTCAGTGTGTAAAGAATCACCTCTTTGAAATTAATTTAATGTTTCTTCTATGCACTGTACCCTCAAAAATCTTGACCTCTGTATAATGGATCCTTCTAAACAACAAATAAAATCTACTCAGCTGATTTCATGACCAAAAATTCAAACTCCTCACAAAATTATATTCAACAAAATTGTTGAATATAATTCAACATGTACAGTAAACAGTAACACCTCTCCTCCTCCCCCTCTTCACCATCTTCCATATGCCTACAGCAGTCATCAGCAAGGGTAAGAAATAACTTGAGCATAGTTTTGTAGGTTTATTTAGATGAATTAAGTATACAATTTAGTTTGAAGTGAGGTTTTTGGGTAGTCAGGAACGGATTAATTCATTTCCCATTATTTCTTATGGGGAAAATTACCTTCGGTTTACGAGTTTTCGGAATACGAGCTGTCTCCAGGAACGGATTAAACTCTTAAACCGAGGTACACCTGTATATTTTACTCCAATTAGAAGCTTTTTATTTCCCTTAACAGCATCTAATGTAGTTTCCTTTTGCTCTTTAATTGTTCTCCTGCTCAGTCTCCCACCACAAATATCAACACTTCCACCTCTTCTGCTTCTGTCTATTTTATACATGTGGTAAAGTGTGTAGCCCCTTACTAATTTTGAGTCCTTTTCCCGTAATATCCCATGCTACCTTCTCATTGTTCATGTTAACACTGAGACCGCTAGTCTATATCAGTTTAGAGTCCTGCCGACTACTACTTCTAACGAGTCGTCTTATATTGCCACCCTAAGCCCAGATATATGCAACCTGGCCCACACATACAGAGAGTTTTTGAACAAGTCTTAGGTATTGATAAAGGATATTTCACCATAAAAACAATGAAGTTTGCTCCAAATGCCCTTGACAACCATTCACCACCAACACCTAACCATGTCGAACTCCCATATAATAAAAGCCCTCTTTTTTTTCTTTTTCTTTTTCTAATCATATCTAGTGCTTGCTTGAATCTGTTTACTAATTAGGGGTATAGGGTTCCTCACTTTGTCTTGTTTAGTACTGTACACAAAATTGCTGTTTAGTTAATATTTATTGTACAGTACAGTATTCTAAAGAGTATTATTCTTCTACTATAGTAGCGCATTGTGTGTTTTGTAGCATAATTTAATAATCTTTTCTGCTACACATTGTATATTTGACTTTAAATTGTATTAATTTCCATTCTTTCAGCTGAAGAAACTTAATGTGAGCAACAATCGTCTGCGAGCCCTTCCTTGCAGCTTGGTTGAGTGCCCAAAGCTGTGTGTTTTAGTCACTCAAGGAAATGACCTCATCCACCCACCTCAAGCTATTTGTGATATTGGATCACAAGTCACACTACAGTTTTTAAGAGAGAGACACCTACCTGCTGTGCAGCCAGGGTAACAAAAAGATTATGTGGTTATGTCTGTTATAGCAAAGCTGTGTTGCACATGTATTCAGTCTGCACCCAATTAATCAATCTGTCAGTTTAGTGGATAATTTTCTCTGCTGACTGACACCCTTTTGGCTGTGCCACCTACCAGTCTCCAGGCTGTATTGCCCTATGTCATCCTGGGTGTGTAGTCTGGGCTGGATACTGCTGGGCAGTTTTACTGCATCAGTGGGTTGGGGATTTCTAGGGCTCCATCTTGGTATGGGGCTCCATGCCTCTTTTTGGAGTTTCTTGCTAGGTCCACCCTTTGTGTGTGATGTTATCTAAGACCTGTCCCTTTTGTCATCTGTGCCTGCAGGTCATCTCTGACCATCCTTTGTTTTATTTTTGGGTAGTTTCTCAGAATTTTAAGATAGCTTCAGGGAGCTATCCCCAATAGCCAAACTATGATGTACTATAAATCACAGTGGTTCACAAAATTGATGGGCTGTCTCATTTTCTATTCATGGATCCTTGGTTAGGTTAGTTTTGGGCAATTTAGTACATCATTTTTTGACATGATAATGAGAGAGGATGGGCAGCATATTGTAATGAAATGCCAATTTCTGGGTGAGCCTCAATGGCTTCCTGAAGCTACTGTCAATGATAGCATACCAATTATTTAGGTCACATTAGCTACAGAGTTTTATAGGCCTACTGGGGACCAGAACTAGAACCTGCCCCCCCACAGAGAGCAGTGACATCTATTTATGTATTTATTTATTTATAGCACAACTGGGGAAGGCAACCAGAAAATCAGTGAAACAAAACAGACCACTGCTGGCTTCAATTAAGACTGCAGCCTTGATAACCATCGAAAGCACTCCTCAAACTATATAAACAAACAATCGAAGTACAGTATATTGAAACTAGCGCCAGCTTGTTCACTCCACCTCCACACTCATTTGGGGAAAGGGGGATACGTCTCCCAATTAGCCGATGAGCCCACCCTCAGTTCTATGGTAGATACGATAGTCCCCGACAACTTGGAGGGAGGGAAGGTGTCAGGGAGTCACCGAGGCTCTCCCAGAAATTGGCGTTTCATTACATTCGATACTAGTTTTCTGGGGAAAGGCCCCTTGTGGCTCCTGAAGCTAACTACCCATAGAGAAGGATAACAAAAGGACACTTACCAGGGAAGTGGGAGCATTGCATATGTAGGATGAAGACAGGATACCAGGCTGAGAAACATGACCCAGAGCATCACAAGCATGCCAAGGCTCTTACACACTGATAAAATACCGAGCTGCCAAAACCTTTTCTCTCACAGCAGAGAGAGTAGCATATTTTTTAACATTATTTGGTTTAACATAAACCAACCAAGCATCAATGACCAAAGGACGCATTCAGGAGCCAACTAACTCATTCTTTTCTAGAAAAGGAGGAGCTGGCTGCACACAAACCACTCACCAGGACCAAATAAACAAAAACCCCGGTGCTGGAGGAAAGTGTGAAGCTCACCCACCCGGCAACTGGAAGCAAGTGAAACCAAAAACAAGGACTTCGGAAAACAAACTTGGACCGACAGGGACACTGTAAACCGAGCAAAAGAAAGAAATGAGAGAATGCTATCTAGGGACCAAGAAAGCTCAAGCGGTAAATGAGCAGGCAGGTGAAACCACACAAGATAGCTTGTGAAATAGAGCTGAGGTAGTATCACCCCCAAACTTGGGCTGTAGCGGTTCCACCAATGCCACATGATGTGAAGCAATAGTATTCAGCATGAGATGGCAATCGAGAAAAAGCCAGGAAAGAAAGGAGAGCACCACATGCTCAGAAAGAGAAGAACAATGACAAAAATAAAGACAGTGGCTATAGGAGTACCTCGAAACCTCATACTGTTGCAGTGAAGAGAACTGCAGTTGGAACACCATCTACAAAGCCACATGATCACCATAGAGATGGTGATAAATGAACGTCAGAAATACTAGATGCGTAGAGTGAAGGAGGCCATATCAATGAGGTACATCACTGGCTGTAGCGGCTTCACCAATGCCCCAACACGCTAACAGAGGCAGAGCCGCAGAAGAACCTCCGGGTTCGTTCACCAAGTAAGCAGTGCCAGAAACCAAGGCTGAGTCAGCAATTAAGAAGCCAGAAGATCACCCTTTCCCTGTAGGACTCCAGCCTGGCTAGGAACTAGAGCAACAGCCTGACCAGGGGAAAGAGGTACAGGAACCCTCGCCTCAACCAGTCCAGCTGAAAAGCATCTACCATTAGCTACTCACAATCGGGGAATGGCACTTTGTACAGAGGAAGGCACTAAGACCACAACAACATAAACTCTACTCCTACATGCCCAAACATCCTGCAAAGTCACAAAAAGGAGGCAACATTGATGGTCCATTCTGTGGAGATGTGAAATGCCCACAAAGGCAAAAAAAAAAAAACACCACTTAGCTGGAACAGCAAAATATTGGAGCCAGCACAGCACAGAGGCGACCACAGCGCACACTACACGCATCAGCATAGAACTGGAAGTGAGCTCACTTACTATGAGCTGCCTCCTCCTCCCCCCCCCCCTCCCAAACAAATGAGGGAGGTGGGGCAAATGAGCTGGCAATAAGTTTCAAGAAATTTCTATACTGTAGTTTACATTGTTAGGGAAGTTCTTTCGACGGTTCTCGAGGCTGTAGTCTCGATCGAAGCCAGCAGTGCCTGTAGTCTGTTTTGTTTTGGAGATTTTCTGGGTGCCTTTCCCGGTGGTGGAATAAATAAATAAATAAATTAATGTCGCACCTCCTTGTGCCTCTTTGAGGGGACCAGGTTCTGGTGTTAGTTTCAAGTAGGCCTATAGAACTTCACAGCTGATGCAGCCTGAGTAGTTGGTACACTGTCAGTGATAGCAGCTTCAGAGGGGCCACAAGAGGTTCCCTCTAGAAAAGTAGAAACAGATTTTTATACATTTATGCATAGAATTAAATTTAAGTAAACTTTTAAAAAACACTTATACTGTATTTTTCTAGTTCCACAGTAAAGAGAAATGTGTTTGCTCGAGTAAGAGGACAACAAGTGTTGGCTAGTGTATCAAACCCAGAATCTGCTAGCATGGAATACCGTCAAGCCCAGGGAACTTCTCGGACGAGCAAGCGCAAGTGCCCTCTGATGCTACCAGTTTCTGCCACTACCCTTAAGCCTGATCAGCTCAAAGACATGCTTCTTGGTGAGTTATGGTGAACTAGATAAATCACAATTTGTTAGAAAAGTAGTCTTTTCATTTTGTAATTACAAGAATTTTGTAATTTTTGGGGGGGAGCCCCTTTGGCTTCCCAGAGCTAACCGGGCTGATATGAATGTATTAGACCCTGGCATCAGTTTTAAGCAAATGAAGTTCTAGGCCTACCGAGGACCATGAGCCAGAACCTGGCCTTCTCAGAGAGGCACGAGGAGCAATGGCCTATAGAAACCCCTGTGTGGTTGGAAGCATTCTATGTCTGCCATCAATCGGGTCAGGCACACAGAAAGGTAAGCACCCCAAAATAATCCCCCTATTCTGGTTAAGAAATTGCTACTGAAAGCCGAACTAGTGGACAGAATTCCCCAAATTAAAACGAGCAAACTAGCATGAAGTCACCATGTCATCGTGCCTCTGTCTGTGCAGCTCCCTCCTCCCGGGAGGGGGGGAACCCCAGACTCCCAGACTCCCAGCAGTACCCTGCCTGGGCTTTCCTTAGCGTGAATTCTATCTAAGGGCCTTGGGAAACCCCTTGGTGGGGGGGGGGGGGGGGGAGGCCTTGGGACCGCTAAAAACGACCCCTGGGTCCCTTCTCGCCCTATCTCGTTTGAGGGTTTCTCGGTCCCCCTTGTTTCCAGGTGACCTTCACCATTTATGCCTCTGTCATGCTGCCTGCTGGGTCGGTGACACTTTCGACCCAGAGTCCTGCGAGTTTTGTTGCTTGTTTGTGACTCGGTACACCCAGTCCACTGATGACACTATTCGGGTGAAGGCAGCTCAGGCGTTGCATGCTCGTTTTAGGTTGCTGCAGCGCACTAGGTTGGTTGCTGACCTGGAAGCCCCGAGGCTGCCCTGTTTTGGTTATAGGGACCCCAGATTTGGGGGTGTTAGTCGCTTCGACTTTGGTTCAGTCTGCTTCCCCTCGCCCTTCCCATGCTGTGGTTCGTTGTGGTCCTCCTTCCCTGCTTCTGGCTCCAAAATGTCTGAGAGTTTTTGGAGTTAAGCAGGGTTTAGTTGTTTTGGAGACTCAGGCGGTTCCAGGGTGGCGACGAAGGCATTAGACCCAGTTTCCCTTGCCGAAGCTTCTGGATCTGACCAGTGGGGCCCCCTTCCTTCCTACTTTTCCAGCTGCTCTGGCTTTTCTTTTTGAGGCTGGGGCTTTAAGGGATGGCTTGGCCCCGAGTCCTGCTATGGAGGTTCCCAGGGGTGGGGAAGGGTTGACTTGGGGGCCAGAAAACCAGCATTAAATGTAATGAAATGCCATTTTCTGGGTGAGACCCATAGGCTCCTCGGCAACCCTCCCTCTGGTCGGCAGTTTTTCACATGTTTTTGACATCCAGCATCAAAACTTGGGTGTGGGTAGCCAGAGCAAGGGTCTGGAGCTTCCCCTTCCCCCCTCCCATGGAGGTGGGAGCTGCACTGACAGCGACGTGGTGATGTCATGCTAATTTCCTCATTTTAATTTAGGGAGTTCTATCCACTAGTTCAGCTTTCAGTAGCAATTTCTTAACCAGAATAGGGGTTGTTTTGGGGCACTTACCTTTCTCTTTCTAGGTGCCTGACCCGGTTTATGGCAGACATAGAATGCTTCCAATCACATGGGGGTTTTTAGAGGCCAGTGTTTCTCGTGCCTCTCTGAGGGGGCCAGGTTCTGGCTCGTGGTCCTCGGTAGGCCTAGAACTCCATTTGCTTAAGATTGATGCCAGGGTCTAATACATTCATATTAGCCCTGTTAGCTATGGGGAGCCTCCGGGTCTTGCCCAGAAAATGGCGTTTCATTACATTCAATGCTGTTTTTTTCTTTTGAGTATTTGATTGTGTTAAATAAAACCCATTGCTAACTGTAAAAGTCAATGAAAGCGATAATTTACCATATATTTTGTTTACACTGGCACCATCTCTAACAATAGGGTTGTTATATGGTATGGCAATTGGTGATGCTATGGCACTGAGCACTGAGGGCCTGAGTGTTGATGAGTGCCTCTTCTTTTATGACCCGGAAAATCTCTCCTTGGATGATCGAATTTCTGATTATCTTCGATCACACTTTCCTCCACATGACTGGTCATCCAATACTGATATTATGGTAAGAATAATCATAATCAGTCTTTTTGACAATGTGTGTAAAAAAAATTTGTTACCATAATTTAAGTTGTTTAATTATTATTTCATTTATATAAATTATGCTGTTAATGTAAAACTTTCTTAACTCTTGTAAAGCAGTTACCTTCTTTCGTTGCTTCCCCAAGGTAATACGGGTTACCATCATACTGTATATAGATTTTAGTTATCATCTTCCAGTTTATATACAGATGTAAGTATGGTTATCTGCCTACCTTGTGGAGGTTCCGGGGATCAACAGTCCCGTGGCCCGGTCTCTGACCAAGCCTCCCAGTTGGTTGTCTGGTTAACCAGACTTGGATGCAGTTCATACACCAACCTGGTATATGAATTACAGCCTGGTTGATCAGGTATTCTTTGGAGGTGTTTGTCAAGTTCTTTCTTGAACACTGTGAGAGGCCAGTCAGTTATGCGCCTTGTGTGTAGCGGGAGAGGGTTGAAGTCTTGAACCCTTGATGTTGATAGAGTTCTTCCTCATCATACCTATTGCACCTCTGCTTTTCAGTGGAGCTACTTTGCATGTCCTACCATGCCTGCTGGCTTCATGTGATGTAATCTCTGTGTTCAGATTTGGAACCAGTCCCTCTAATATTTTCCACGTGTATATTATTATGTATATTATAACGCAAATTAATGACATCGAAATAGGGAGTGAGCTAGGGAGCAGTGATCACAAAGAAATCAGATTTAGCATAGAATGGAATAGACCAGTAGGAGAAAATTCTGTTAAAGTGCCAGATTTTCGAAAAGCTGATTTTAATAGCCTAAGAAATTTTTTGGGTCAAATTGATTGGAATGGCTTGGGTATGGGGTGTGGGCCGGTCTTGGAGCGAGACATGAACCCAGCGATAGGTGACTTAAATGGGGATTTCGATGTGGATTCAATATATAACTTATTTAAGAATATTCTAAACAAAGCACAGGAACGTAGTATACCATACAAATTGAATAGATCGTATACTAATGACCCAAAGTGGATAACAAAGAATTTGAAGAACCTTATAGGTAAAAAGAGAGCTTGGTACAAAAGGATTAAAAATGGGGAGGTCACTTTAGAACAGGAATTCGTACAACTGGTTAGAAATGTTAAAAAAGAGATAAGGAAAGCAAAAAGAAACTATGAAGTTCGCATAGCAGGGCAAGCAAAGACAAATCCTAAAGGGTTTTTTCAGTTATATCGTACTAAGACTAGGGAAAGGATAGGTCCATTAAAAACTGAGACAGGTCAAATAACAGATAGTGATGAAGAGATGAGTAGTATTTTTAATAAATATTTTGTATCTGTATTTACTAAAGAGGAACTTAACAATATGCCTTCAGCCGAACAAGTCTATGTGGGTGGGGACGAGGACAGGTTGACGAGTTTAGCAGTTACCAGGGAGGATGTTCTTAAACAAATAGTAAAACTCAAACCAAACAAATCCCCAGGGCCGGATGAAGTGTTTGCTAGGGTGCTTAAAGAATGCAAAGAGGAGCTTTGTGACCCACTGTCAACCATATTTAATAAATCAATAGAGTCAGGCAGAGTGCCAGAGTTTTGGAAAGTTGCTAATGTGATACCAGTTTTTAAGAAAGGAGATAGATCACTTGCGTCTAACTATCGACCAATTAGCCTAACGTCTATTGTGGGAAAGTTACTCGAATCTATAATAGCAAATAAAATTCGTCTTCATCTTGAAAAACATAAATTAATAATTGAGTCGCAACATGGTTTTATAAATGGCCGTTCATGTTTAACAAATTTGTTATCTTTTTATTCTAGCATTGTTGAGGCAGTTGATAGTGGTAAGGATTGCGATGTTGTATACCTTGACTTTAGCAAAGCTTTTGATACAGTGCCACATGAAAGACTGATTAAAAAAATAGAGTCTCATGGTATTGGGGGTGCTATATTAAGCTGGATTAGGGCATGGCTATACCAAAGGAAACAGAGAGTTAGTATAAATGGAATCAAGTCAGAGTGGGAAAATGTTGTAAGTGGAGTGCCTCAAGGCTCTGTCCTGGGACCTCTGTTGTTTATAATATATATAAATGATTTAGATTCAGGTTTGAGTAGCAACATTTGCAAATTTGCCGATGATACGAAAATCGGTAGGGAAATTAATTCGGAGGAGGACTCACTATCACTTCAAGTTGATCTAGATAGGGTTTTGAAATGGTCAAAGGATTGGCAGATGCAGTTTAATGCTGATAAATGTAAAGTTCTGAGGTTAGGTAATGATGATAGAGTTACAAGATACGAGCTAGATGGTGTTGTGATTGCGAAGTCGGATTGCGAAAGGGATCTGGGAGTTATGATTAGTAAGAATTTAAAACAAAAGGATCAATGCATAAATGTTCGTAATAAGGCAAATCGGACACTTGGATTTATTAATCGCAGCGTTAGTAACAAGACACCTGGTGTGGTTCTCAAGCTATATCTTGCTCTAGTTAGGCCCCATTTAGATTATGCAGTTCAGTTTTGGTCGCCATATTATAGAATGGATATAAATTCACTTGAACGTGTCCAGCGTAGGATGACTAAGTTAATTCCCCAAATTAGAAATCTTTCATATGAAGAAAGATTAACAAAGCTTAAGTTGCATTCACTGGAAAGGCGAAGAGTTAGGGGTGACATGATAGAGGTTTACAAGTGGATGAATGGACATAACCGGGGGGATATTAATAGGGTATTAAAAGTATCAACACAGGACAGAACACGAAACAATGGATATAAATTGGATAAGTTTAGATTTAGGAAAGACTTGGGTAAATACTGGTTCAGTAACAGGGTTGTTGATTTGTGGAACCAATTGCCGCGTAACATTGTGGAGGTGGGGTCCCTCGATTGTTTCAAGCACGGGTTGGACAAGTATATGAGTGGGATTGGGTGGTTATAGAATAGGAGCTGCCTCGTATGGGCCAATAGGCCTTCTGCAGTTACCTTTGTTCTTATGTTCTTATGTTCTTATTATCGAGAAAATTTTACCATTTCAGTTACTTGTAACACATCGCTTTATTATATTCCGTAGTCAAAATTAAGAATTCATAATAAATGGTGGTGTCAGTGGTGAGGGGTAGTGTCAGAGACGTCGTCTGGTAGTGTCAGTGGTGGGGAATGGTATGTGTCAGTGGTAGGGGATGGTGTCAGAGAAGTCTGGTGGTAGGGGGATGGTGTCAGAAAAGTCTGGTGGTAGGGAATGGTGTCAATGGTGGGGGATGGTGTCAGAGAAGTCTGGTGGTAGGGGGATGGTGTCAGAAAAGTCTGGTGGTAGGGAATGGTGTCAATGGTGGGGGATGGTGTCAGAGAAGTCTGGTGGTAGGGGGATGGTGTCAGAAAAGTCTGGTGGTAGGGAATGGTGTCAATGGTGGGGGATGGTGTCAAGAGAAGTCTGGTGGTAGCAGATGGTGCCAGTGGTGGGAGATAGTGTCAGAGAAGTCTGATGGGGGATGGTGTCAGTTGTGTAGGGTGGTGTCAGAGAAGTCTGGTGGTGTCAGTGGTGGGGGATGGTACGTGTCAGTGGTACCATCATACGTACCATCAGTGGACATACACACACACTCACTAGCAGTAAGCAGGTGCCACGAGTCAATTTAGTGATGATAATTGTCGCATTATCTACACTGAAATTAGCTCCCACATGTAAAGTCTTGCATTTATCAACATTAAAAGCATTTACCAGTCATCTGACCATTTGTGGAATTCATGTAGGTCTCTTTGTAAGGCTTCAGTATCACCTTCACTTCCCACTTTACCATAGATGTAATTTTATATCATTACAAATAACCATAGATGGTTATTTTACAGTTGGTGAGGTTCAATTTCCTCTTCAACTGGCAGAAGTCTTAGTTGGTGCCGTTGCAGGTTCAGATGTGATTAGGCTTGGTTCTGGTCCTGGCTTTTGGTAGACAACATACGAACATAAGAATAAAGGTAACTGCAGAAGGCCTATTGGCCTATATGAGGCAACTCCTATTTATAACCACCCAATCTCATTCATATATATGTCTAACCTATGCTTGAAACAATCAAGGGAGCCTACTTCTATTACATTACGTGGTAATTGGTTCCACAAATCAACAACCCTGTTACCAAACTAGTATTTTCCCAGAACTTTCTTAAATCTAAACTTCTCCAATATATACACATTGTTTCGTGTTCTGCCTTGTGTTGATACTTTTAATACCCAATTAATATCTCCCTTTGTTATGTCCATTCATCCACTTGTAAACCTCTGTCATGTCACCCCTAATTCTTTGCCTTTCTAGAGAATGTAATTTAAGCTTTGTCAATCTTTCTTCATATGACAGATTTCTAATTTGGGGGATTAATTTTGTCATCCTACGCTGGACGTGTTCTAATGAATTTATATTCATTTTATAGTACGGCGACCAAACCTGAACAACTTAATCTAAATGGGGTCTAACCAGAGCAAGATATAGTTGAAAAACAACACCAGGTGTCTTGTTACTAACGCTTCAATTAATAAATCCCAGTGTCCTATTTGCCTTATTACAAACATTTATGCACTGATTTTTTATTTTAAATTCTTACTAATCATAACTCCCATATCCCTTTTGCAATCCAACTTGGCAATCTCAACAGCATCTAGCTCGTATCTTGTAACTCTAAATGATGCAATATGATGATAGCACATGATGGTACCATCAAGAGTGAGTTTCAGAAGCCTGGTGAACATCCTAAGTCTTGGTAGTATAGTACTTGAGCTAAAGAAATTACTGTACCATCACTTAAAAAGTGCCTAACATTACATTCAGCCCTTGATTTGTGAGTTGATGCATAGTGAGCCATCAGAACACATGCATATGTGTGTGTCAATATGTGTGACATATATATTGCATCATTGGAATATGAGTGTTTATATAACCCAAAATCCAATTTCGTTCACTACAATGATTCTTGTATTATTTGACAGTTATTAACCCTGGATTCAATGATGAGGTGGGGAGGAGTTGTGGATGAATTGGAGCTGGCCTCTCAGCTTGACCAGTGGAGAATTCATGGTTATGCTGACCTTGACCCCTCACCTGGTCACCTGCTCTCTTCATTCATGGAAAAGGTTAGTCTAGCTCTTATCCTTAGCATGAATATTATGTATAGATTACCAGAAGAATATAAGATGAGTGTATCTGTTCATACCATTGAAATGAGGTACTGTAAGAGCTTGCTAAGCTGGACCTCTGTTAACTCAGACCTTTGGGTAATCCAGCTAAAACTGAACGAGTTTTTTCTACTAAACTTGACAGAAATCTAGGTTACTGGGATATTCTGGGGCAAGCCTCTTGTGGCTCCCTGAAGCTACTATCACTTGATAGTGTACCATCTACTGGGTTGCATCAGCTGTGGAGTTTTATCTGGGGTATATACAGTATATATAATATTATATAATATACATACACTCCAAATTAAATGATGTACTAAGGAAACCTGACTATTGTTTCAGGTGATAACTACGGAAGGCTACTCTGCTAACCCTCATGCTGTTGCACAAGGTGTCTACAAGCAGGCAAAAGAAGAAATGTCACGAGGAGTATTTACTGGGAATCCAAGTGACAACTCGTGTCTTCCTTCTGCTCTTGTTTTAGGTTAGTTGTTTTAATCTCTTTTTTTAATAGAGGTACAGTATTGTGTATAGGTTTAGTTTATATATATTCCTCTTAGCCTTCTCGTTAGGTATCTCAGAGAGGTATGTGATAATCACGTGATAAACGAATTACAGTGGCCCCTCCATTTACAAATTTAATCCGTTCCCAGAGACGGTTCGTGACCCGAAAATTCGCAACCCAAAACAAATTTTCCCATAAGAAATAATGTAAATTGAATTAATCTGTTCCATACTACTAAAAATATTAACTTCAAAATACATTTCATACCTAATTCACATAAATATTTAGTACTATAGCATGTACAAGTTATAGCTTACCTCTATTGATGACTGTTGTTGGCTATGGAAGACGGTGAGGAGGGGAGGGGGAAGAGGAGAGGTGTTAGTATTTGGAAGGGGAGTCCCCTTCCATTATAACATCAAACAGTGATGACTTCTGGGATACTCTCGCTCCTACGTTTTGCAGGAATACCACTAAGACTTGGTTGTGGCTCACTGCTTGTTTTTCTCACTAAAAACTTTTCCATAGAAACTTGTTTTTCCCTATGTTGTAACACTTGTCTGTAGGGGGCATCACAGTATCATTATAAATGGTTAAAGCAATGGCCTACTACAGCTTGCTCTGGGTGAGTCGTTTCAACAAAAGTTTGCATTTCTTCCCATAGTCTACACCACTTAATTGTTGAGGAAGGGACATTCTGTACTGCTTCCTCCACCCCTGAAGAAATTTCCTCAGCTGCCTCTTGTTGCTGCTCATTGTGAAGGGTTAGGAGTTCTTCGGTGGTCAGTTCTTCGCTGTGTTCTTCCAATAACTCACAACACACAAAACTCACAACTCTCACAACACTGTGAATACCATTTCTTTTTCTAAATTTTTCAAACCAATCCCTGCTCGCCTAAAACTCTTTCGCATCTGCATCACTTGTTCCAGGGGTTTTCTTTATAAGATCTTCATGCATAGCCTTGCTTTTTCACAAATGATGGCCTCTGAAACACCTTCACCTGCTAACTCCTTTGTTGTGTATGTAAATTAATAACAACTTTTCAACATTTAAGTGTTTGTGTTCTTTGTTTCGTGATTGTTGATACGCCTTTTACCTCTTTAGCACTCATAATGTCCTTCTCTTAGCAATTACAGTGCATATCATTGACAGAGTTGTTGTACTGCATTGCTAGTTCAAACAACCTGTGTACCATTTTCATGTTTACAAATGATCTCTTGTTTTTGATCTAGTCTCACCGGTGTGGAGCCTAGTCTTTCTGGTGTGGAGCCTTTTTTACTGCAAGACACAGCACCTCTCGTGGCTGTGCTGCCAGGAGTCGACATATTTGCCAATGCATGTTGGTTACTGTACTGGCTAGCATTTAAATTTAATAGGCTCATTGAAATAGAATGCAATAATATTTATCATTATTACACAATAAATTCTACTTGCAAGCAAAACAGGTCCTGAAGCACACATCGTAAAAATCCTAAACTTTATAAGACATCACCATGTCAAGAGCACCCTAATTTCAACAAAAAGAACATAGTACATTACTTGACCACAACAGGTGGGAATGCAGCAGCAAGTGTCCTCAAAACAGCTTGTGAGGCTTGCTGTATATTTGCCCAGCCAAACACTACTTCAATTGTATTGTTTTTCCCCTTCACACTTGCTCTATGGTGTCTGTCAGGCCATGGCTAGAGATATGGTTTGTTGTGGTAGCTGTAGATTAAGTCTGTCTGTCTGTCTGAAAAAAAACTAGGTTGAAACAGGTCAGAGGTTGTGTTTCTTCTGGCTGAGTTCTGGTGAGGAAGATGTTGATGCTGTGTGCTTGCAGCCTTATATATCTGTCTGCTGGCTCAGCTCAGACCAATGCTGCTGTTGATTGGTTGAGAGTAGTGTGCAGATGTAGCAGTACTTGCTAGCCGTCTTGATGTAGCTGCTACAACTATTTGAATTATAGAAAAGAACACTTTTTTGTCTCTTGCAAATTTCTTGCATAAATTTCTGATTTTTATATAATGATGTAACAGATGTAACAGTACTTACTAGCAGTCTTCATGTAGCTGCTACAACTATTTGAAGTATTGTATAGAAAAGTACATATTTTTGTCACTTGCATATTTCTTACATAAGTTTCTTATTTTTATAAATTGATCTTTTCAAATTACTTTCAGGGGTACCAAATTTCTATATGGATCATGAAGTTCAAATGAATGCAGAAAGAATTTGCAAAGCAACACATGCTGACCCAGTAGCACAAGCAGTATGCATTTTTTTGGCTCTTCTGGTAGCTGCTATACTTCAGGTAAGAGACCAGAGTACTTGCCTTTCTGATGTTAGCTAGCACTTTGGCCTTGTTATTTAAAAACTTAATTTCTGTATAACACACTTGGAATTCCTTAATTAAAATCAGTGCTGAATGTAATGAAATGTCTTTCACCGGTAGAGCCCCATTGACTCCCTGAAGCCATCTCATTGAGATTGCTCCTATCTGTTAGATCACAACAATTGCAGGAGTTCTGTTTGGCTTACGGGTAACCAAACCCATAACATGCCCCCCCCCCCCCAACCTCACAGAGGCAAAGAGAGCAAGTGACAAACCAGCTACGAACAGTGGAACAAGTGGTCATAGATGGAAACTGGAAAGGCAAACAAGTCATAGTCATAAGGAAGAACATTTTCAGTACAGTATTAGAGCTATCAATAAATGGAATATGTTAGATGCAGAAGTCATTGAAACTAATTTGATTCAAAATATTAAATGTAAATACGATAAAAGCATGAGAAATGAGTCATTGCATTAACCCTGCTCAGTCCCCCAGGGTACTGTGCTTGCTCCAGTACTTTTTCTCATACTCATATCGGACATAAACAAGGACACAACCCATAGTACTGTATTATCCTTGCAGATGACACTAGGATTTTTATGAAAGTAGACAACATAGAGGAAATGGCAAACCTCCAATCAGATGTAAATCAGGTCTTTCTATGGGCTACAGAAAACGATATGGTGTTTAACGAAGATAAGTTCCAGCTCATGCGCTATGGAAATAAGGAAAATATAAAAACGGAAACCACGTACAAAACGCAGTCAAATCATAACATAGAACGAATAGGCACTGTAAAGGATTTGGGTGTACTCATGTCGGAAGACCTTACCTTTAAAGAACACAATAAAGTAGCCGTCACAACTGCAAGAAAAATGACAGGTTGGATAACAAGAACCTTTCACACCAGAGATGCTATACCGATGATGATACGTATCAAGACGGTAGTGCTCTCTAGAGTGGGGTACTGCTGCACAATGACAGCCCCTATCAAACCTGGAGAAATATACCCCTGTAGGGAATTCTATTGCGAACACATTGATACAAAAATGAACAACATAACACAAAAATTGAGGTGATAATCTCTTAATGATAAGAGATCGTTTACTGCCAGAATCCACTCAGTAAAGCATCTAAACTATTGTGACCGACTAAAGAGCCTAAATCTGTATTCTCTTGAGCGCAGGTGGGAGTGATACATAACAATTTACACGTGAAAAATAGTAGAGGGGCTGGTCCCAAACATGCACACAGAAATAACATCACATGAGACCAGAAAGCATGGCAGGATGTGCAGAATACCCCCATTGAAAAGCAGAGGTGCAACAGGTACTCTGAGAGAGAACTATATCAACATCAGAGGACTGAGGCTGTTCAACACGCTTCCATTACACATAAGGGGCATAACTGGTCGACTCCTCACAGTGTTCAAGAGAGAACTTGACAAACACCTCCAAAGGATACCTGATCAACCAGGCTGTGAGCAGCCACGTCCAACAGCGTAGTTGACCAGTCTAGTAACGAGGAGGCCTGGTTGACGACCGGGCCGCAGGGTCGCTAAGCCCCGGAATCACCTCAAGGTAACCTCAAGGTAAGGTTGGATTGTACAGCTATTAATAGCCAACAACAACGCTGTGCGCAATGAAAAATTTTTAATTTTTATTTTTCCTCTTAAGATTGTTAAAACGTGTTTCCTGATCACAGGAAAACAAAATTGTAGGCGACATATTTTGGCTGTGATAGGGTGAGGAAGTCTGGCAAGATACAGGCGTTGAAAGAGTACGCATCCAGGCCAGTCTCCTCCAGCCGAGCTGTCAGGCAGTTGCCACAAAGATATTATTACCTAATTTTTTCTATGTCTTTGATTGATTTTTTCTCAGTTTTTTGCAGTAATATTGTTCATTAGTGGGTAGTATGACATATGTATATAATCAAATGTGTGAACATATTAGTGATTATTAATATTACTGTATATTAGTAATTCAATTATTATATTCAGAAAAAGATAAAAGAATATTTTTGTTGTTATTACCTAATATACACACTATATATATATAAGTATCTACATGTTTTGTTCACCATAACATACTACTAAGCTGGTATGGTATGTCCAAACAGCATAGGGGGGCCAATATACACTTCACTGTATGTCACACACCAGCCAGCAGTCGTCGTCATCTCAATTGGCAAGAATTCACCTCCCAACATACTGTTTTGGCAGTTATTACACTATTTAAACACGTTATATATAAGTACAGTATCTACATTTTTGTTCATCATAACGAATCACTAAGCTGGTATGGCGAGTCCAAACAATATAGCGGCCGCCACTCACCAGTCAGCTGACGACACCACCTCACTGCCAAGATTCCTCCTCACACCATACTACGCACATTGCTAATTCTCATCACAATGCTGCTATAGGTATTATCAAAATCCTGGTCACTAAATCTTGCAAAGAAATAATTTTCAACAAGTTTATTTTGTAAAGGAACATAAGATGTCGTTTTAATGTTCTTAGATAAATTAAACAATGCAGTGTGCTGTGGCTACCTGCCTATGAACATTTTGAACAGCATTGTGTTCACCGATATCGATATCTGAACATTGTGTTTATCACAGTCAAGCTCATCTGTAATACTATCATCGCTAAATAATAGCAGTTACATATACTGTACAGTATTTTTTTTAAGTTTTTAATCAATGCTGTGATCACAAGCTGAACAACAGAGCTGTATGTTCCAGCATTGGTTGCTCACACAGTACTTCACAGTTTATCGGCAAAGACAGCCTGTAGAAAATCAGTGGTAGAAATTGATATGGGTGTTTCATTAGCAGTGACAAAGAGAATACTTAAACAAGTATCTAATGAAGATTTCACCGACCTAACAAATTCACAAAGACCTGAAAGATGTAGCATTAAATATTATGATAGCTATTGTGAGGAGACATTCACATATGGGACTAATAGAACAAGAATCCGGCAATGTGATGTTATAGGGGCCAGAATACGCCTGGGATCTAGACGTATCTGGCAGCTTTCTCAAAACCCAAATGTCGAGTACACAATGTGTCAACTTTGTGAAAGAGAAAACATGCACTCTTTTGAACATTATATTGTAGAATGTCCCATACTGACTGTATGGCATACCTTAGCCCCCTCCTAGGCTAAGGTATGCTGATTTCTGTAATTACTATATGAGTACTGGAACATTTGATGATATATTGGACTTGTACTCAAGATTGACCATGTAATGTATCAATTATACAATGTATGTATGTGATATAACTATATAACCTGAGCTTGTAAAAGCACCTTAATCACCTTCAGTGATTAAGTGCTTAATTACACACTAGTTTCTTTATCAGCTATCTCACCCTGTCAGAGTAAAAGAGACAAATGTATGTGAATGCATGTGTGTATATATGTATGTATATATGTACATATATGTGTGTGTGTATGTATATGTATGTGTATAAAGTATATATGGAAGCTGATCAGAACTATATTTCACCTTTGTAAATGCACATTAATGACACTTTGTAAAAGACACATCGAACACTTTATGGAGGGCATACATAAATCTGTGTATCTATGTATTTACGTAGCAATGCTAACCAGCATTTACAATGCTGGTTAGCATTGTAAATGTGTGGCCACATCTGTGGTAGAAAATAATAAAAAAAAACAGTACTTCACACCAGGGAATGGTGCCCATGATTTTTTTTTCAAATGGCAGTTGCAGTTTTCATAAGTTCTTCATTGTCAATTTTGTTGATACTTGTTACTATTTTGTATATAGTGATCATATCGCCTCTTTTTTTTCTATCTTCTAGCTTTGGGATATTTAACACCTCAACCTCAAATGGAGCTCTGAGGTGACTCAAACCTGCAACAGATAGACCCCCCAACCGCTAACCATTGGAACATCCTGACTTGGTAAAAGTTGTACAGCTGGATTTCTAGGGAAATCACTGGAAGTCTAGAAGCATATACTGAAGCCAGTTTAAGTTTTACGTATAACCCTCAAGCACTCGGGTGTAGGCAATGTCCACCAAATGCTCCAGCTTTAGATACACCTGAAGTTGGAACGCACATTGGATGAACTACATTGCCTGTGCTCGAGTGCTTGGGGGTTATATGTCAAACTTGGACTGGTTTCGGTAGAGGCCTCTAGACTTCCAGTGATTTCCGTAAAAATCCAGTTGTACAACTTTTGCCAAGTCAGGATGTTCCAATGGTTAGCGTCAGTGGCTAGGAATCTCTTAGTTGCAGGTTAAACTCACCACAGAGCTCCAGTTGATTTTCTCATTGATGTATATACAGTATACTGTATCACATTAGTGTGATTTCTGTGTACCTCTAACTTTTCATCAGTGCACTTAATTTTCAGTGTTTCAGTTCTGGGAGCCATTTAGTTGCATGTTTTTGCACCTTTTCCAGTTTATTGATGTGCGTAATGAAATTTGGGCACCATATAACCATTACATATTATAAATTTGATTTCATAAAGGTCATGAACAATTTCTTTAATATTTCTCCAGCCATATAATTAGATGCAATTCTAAAGTCATCTTGAGAGGATTTCGGTGCTTAGTGTCCCCGCGGCCCAGTCCTTGACCAGGCCTCCTTTTTTTTTGTTACACACCCCCAGGAAGCAGCCCATAGCAGCTGTCTAACTCCCAGGTACCTATTTACTGGTAGGTGAACAGGGGCATCAGGGTGAAAGAAACTCTGCCCATTTGTTTCCGCCTCCACCGGGGATCGAACCCGGAACCTCAGGACTACGAATCCGAAGTGCTGTCCACTCAGCTGTCAGGCCCCATAAAGATGGAAAGCATAACATATGTTCCTTGCACAATGTTCTTTATATGGTCCTCAGGTGACAGTTTTGTATGTGTTTGTGTGTATAATTATGTAAGTGTAATTACACAAATTCAAAGCTAGAAGACATGAAAAAAGAGGCAATGTGATCACTACATACAAACTAGTAATGGGAATCAACAAAATTGAGAAAGAAGAATTCTTAAAACTTAGAACTTCAAGAGCAAGAGGTCATAGATATAAGCTAAGGAAACAAAGTTGTTATGTATGTGTGTGTGGCACAGATTAACTGTAATCTAATAATAACAATTCTTTAGGGTAGAGCTGCTGGTGATGCTGCTGCTTTCATCTGCCATATTAATGACCTGAAGGAGAAAATAGAAGTGCTTTTCTCTGACATTAAAGACAAGAAGAGATTTAATTCAGCATTTCTGGTTAAAGATGCAGCATCTTTTTATGGAAGTGATGTTTTGACTTCTGTAAGTTTATTGATGTGTGCCTTGACAAAGGAAAATTATAAATTCAAAGAACACATTAGCAGAATTGTAATGAGAGGTGGCAATGGAGTGTGTGTTCATGCAAGTGTTGTTGGGGGGGTTCTAGGTGCTGTGCTTGGCTATTCTCAACTCCCACAAGATTGGTTATCTCAGCTTCCTCCAGAAAACATTGCACTGATGAATATCAAATTAAATTTATTACTAGATCTCTTTGGGTTGCCATAAATGTGCGAGTGCATTTTTTATTACATGTGATAGACCAGTGTTAGTTGCAGAAAGGTGTGTGTGTGTGTGTGTGTTTTTTCAGTTGTTCCTCTCATCAAAATCACAAAAAAATAAGTCTTCCTGCCATTTTCATTAACTTTATTGATAGGTATATGATGCCTCATATTTGAAGTTTTAGAATAGGGTTGAGTAAATTCGATGTATGTCATAGTTTGAGTGAAACATTTCCTAATCCAGAATATTCATTTTGATGGGTCTATTTTTGTAAATATTGTACCTTAAGATAAAATATTGTTATTAATATAGGTTATGCTTACCAACATATACAGTGTGAATTGCCTTAATAAAGTGAATTGATTATTCCAGGGAATGTTGATAATTTATGCTTACTTTTCCCAAGCAACTGCTGTAGTGAAATAATGTTTATTTTTACTACTGCTGTAGTTTTGGGGAGGGCTTCTGTTGTGTCTGCACTACCCACAGCATCGCTGGCAATGTAGAACCTTCCCGAAATCACAATAGAGCCACCTAGTTTACAATAATATTGTCTAGGGTTAGGGAAAAGTCAATAAAAAATCACCAGTTTACTGGGGCATATCTAAGCAGGACACTGTAATACATATATATATATAAAACTGTTTGTCAAGAACCAAATCAATATAGCTTTTATCAAAGCTTCTCAGGATAATAATAATAATAATAATCACAGTAGCATCAATTAAAGGACTAGCTGACACTAGGCTCTATCCTAGTACAGTGGTACACTAGTTCCTGGTATGCTCTAAGATCATGAACACAGTATGGAGGTGACACAATCAGTTTAGTGGGAGAGGAGTCAGTCTCAATCAGGACACTCAAAATCACAATAAAGCCCTCAGCTACCCACCACTCTACATCCAATGAAGGACGGGCAACGGTGCATCCATGCAGATTCATAAAACTGCTTACACAAAATATAGTCACCTACCACCTGTTCCACAAATGCTCCAAAAAGATGAACACCCTGGTTTAGTCCTGATCCATCATCATACAGTACACTCAAGTTTACATCAAAGGTTTACAAGGTCTGTAGACCAATAAATATACACCCGAAAGGGAGTCGGACCAAGCGCAACCGTACTTGCCAATGACCTACAGACCAGTTAGGTACTGGCCGCAGCAGTACGCACTGTAGCCAACTCGACAAACGTAATCGTGACATCTACTTCAAACATTTTAACTCATATCATTGCATTTTACAATTCAATTAGGCCTTGAGCATATGCAGAACTAATAAATAACAATATATATATAACTCGCAATATAAAATGAGATGAGCACATAGGCACACAATGTAGAATATAATAATATACAAAGATACAAATAGAGAATTTCCATCTCCTAGACTTGGTAATACCTAATTTTGGCTGGCAAGCAAAGGAAGGGGGGAAGGGAGAAGGTAGGATTCAAAAGAATTAAGCCAAGTCAACCATTATCACTCTTCTCTAATGCAATATTCATCGATACATAGTTATACAGTAATACAAGTAAAATATAATATACACAACATGCTCTCAAAACTCTGCCTATGAGTATATATCCCCACAATACAAAGTATAGTAATATTAATCAAACAACCTATTAATAGATATATTAATTCTCTCTAATCTCTATTACTCTGTCATCTATCCTTATCTCAATTATGGTATTTGTGCTTGGGGTTCTACTACCCAAAATCATCTATGTCCTCTAATTACTCAACACTAAGCTGCTGTTAGAATAATATCAAACTCTGGCCCCAGACAGCACTCGGTACTCTTACTTAAATCTTTGAATATGTTAGATATTAAGATACTGCACATCCTCTCAAGTGTACTCTATGTATTTAAAACTCTGAACTGTAATGCCAATCCTGACCTTAAATGGTTCCTAGAAGGTTGTAACTGAACTCATGGGCACTACACCAGAAACAAATACCTATTTGATATTCCAAGAGTGCACCTTAACCAAACTAGAAATGCTTTACAAATCAAGGAATCCAAATTTTGTAGAATGACCTTCCCAGTCATGTCAAAGGCTGTACCTTTCTCAACTAGTTTTAAGAGAAAAACTAAGTACTATCTAATAAACTCCTTGTAACCTATCTTACCCCCCTAAATGTCAACCCATGTCTTGCAATTTTCAAACAATACTGTTTGTTGACCAACTTGTTTAATTGCTGACTTCTGCCATGTCCCCTCCTCCCTCCCCTTTCAACACAATTTTTACTTTAATCTCTATTAGTATTAAGTTTTAGTCTTTTTTTTTCCACTTATTTGAGGAATGGTTATTTTAATTACCTTATAAGCAAAGGCAGCTTATTTTATTTGAGGAATGCTCAGCTGATTCCTCTACATTTATCATTGAACAAATGTGTGTCCAAGACCTCTTCCTGTTACACAATTTGACTGTATGTAACAATAAGTAATTATCAAAAGAAGGCACCATGCCAGGAAGGCTATGTAACACCATTGTGTGTAACAATAAACCTAATTTTTTTTAACAGATAATGCATATGTGAGTAAAACAAATCCTGTTAGCTGTAAAAAATACTGATTCAGTTATTTAATTAAAAAAATATTGAAACAAATATTTATGGGTTGTTTATTCTAACTTTTCTACTGTATATCCAAAGAAGTGAAAAAATAAGACATACTGCACAATTTAATGAATGATACGAAAGAAATATGACTTACATATCAATATGAGATCTAAATGATTCATGGTTAACATGATTTAATAAGGATAATACTGATAATAATACAAACTATAATTTAAAACCTTTATTACTTAATTTTTTTTATTAAGAAGCTCAGGTATATACAACAATGTGCTGCTACCCTATTCTATATGAAAGATTACTGTGTAGATCAAAACCTAGTTAAAAGTTCATCTAATATTCCCACCTCACAGGATGGTTAGTCATACCTGGAATCGGGAGAAAATGCCTACCTCAATACAAAAAACAAATCAGCTCTGACTAAACAACTTCATGATTTTCACAAGTGGGTAAACACTGAATCATGGTAACATTATATTATATTATAATTACTCTTACCAGTTTCTACAAGACCCCTCTCTCAAACAATTTTGAAGCGAAGATCAGATATTATGTACCTCGCCCTGCCCTGGTGATGCTCTATTACTCTCTCATCTATCCTTATCTCAACTATGGTATTTGTGCTTGGGGTTCTACTACCCAAAATCATTTACATCCTCTAATTACTCAACACAAAGCTGCTATTAGAACAATATCTAACTCTGGCCCCAGACATCACTGTACCCTTACTCAAATCTCTGAATATGTTAGATATTAAGTCACTGCACATTCTCTCATGTGTATTATACATATATAAAACGCTGAACTGTAATGTCAATCCTGACCTCAAAAGCTTCCTAGAAGGTTGTAACAGAACCCATGAGCACCACACCCAAAAACAAATACCTATTTGATATTCCAAGAGTATGACTTTAATCAAACTAGAAATACTCTACAAATCAAGTGACCCAGAATGTGGAATGACCTTCCCAGCCATGTTAAAGACTGTACCTCTCTCAACCAGTTTAAGATAAAAACGAAGCACTAGCCTAATAAATTCCCTGTAACCTACCTTACCCCTCTATTGTCAACCCAAGTCTTTTTTTTTTAAACAACGCTGTTTGTTCGACCTAATTGTATTTGTGCTACATTTTCAGCCATGTTCCCCCCCTTTTTATCTTTATTTTTATTTGTTCTCAACACATTTTATCCTTTATAATCAATTAGTATTAAGCTTTAGTCATTAATGTTTTTCATGCCCGAAACGCTTTGCGTAATAGTGGCTTTAGGCATTGTATGTGTTGGAAACAGACCCAACTATAGGATGGGTTAACCCAAGTATCGCGCTTCCAAAAGGGTCGCCCAAGTTGGAAAAGACGAACGCTGAAAGAATATTGTTGAAAACATCTTGATAACTGATTAAACCAAAATTATTTATTAGTCAGAAGAAAGACAGAAACGCGATCTATATGTAAAACCTCTACCAGACAAATATTTTAAGTAAAACCGAAGATATTTGTAGTTGAATAAAAGTGGCAGTTTTCATCGCTCGTCAAACTCGAAAACCGCAGCATTCATCTCAGCACCATGCCTATTTCACACAGATTCCTTAATAAACGTAAGAGTTTTATATGTCACAAGAAAGACAGATATATAAGCTTCGTTCTAAATACCTTACCATGGGCATATTTAAATTTAAAGCGAAGATACCCACATACCCACATACACTAAATAATGTTGTGAATAATGAATTAAAAAAAGTCCACTTATGGATGTCAACGAACAAACTAACATTAAACATCGAAAAGACTTACTACATCTTATTTGGAAGCAAATCATCAAATGCAATTCAGCTACAGATAGACAACATTAACATCAGTAATAAAGATGATGGCAAGTTTCTTGGCCTATTCCTAGACAAGAGACTCAACTTCAGCACCCACATTCAACACATAACTAAGAAAGTCTAAGACAGTTGGTATACTCTCCAAAATCAGATATTATGTTCCTAACTCTGCTCTCCTCTCACTATATTATGCACTAATTTACCCCTATCTTAATTATGGTATCTGTGCATGGGGGTCTACCACTGCAAACCACCTTAAGCCCATCATCACACAGCAAAAATCTGCTATCAGAATGATAACTAACTCAGCTTTCAGACAACACTCAGCTCCCTTGTTTAAATCCCTAAACTTGCTAAATATTAACTCCCTCCACACATTCTCTTGTGTCAACTACATTTACAAAACCCTGTTCTTAAATGCAAACCATGCTCTGAAACTCTCCCTGGACAGATGTAATAGGACCCATTATCACCACACCAGAAATAAATATCTCTTTGATATCCCCAGGGTCAAACTTAATCTGTGTAAACACTCTATGCAAATTAAGGGACCTAGTTTATGGAACTCACTCCCTAGTGAATTGAAAAACTGTAAAACTTTTGCCTTATTTAAAAGCAAAACCAAAAAGTACCTAACTTCATCTTCTTAGTTTCCTACACTGAGCTTTAAATTTGCTCTGTACCTAGTGTTACCCAATCTCCTAATTTTTATGTAATTTCAAACAACCTTATGATTGTGTTCATTGCTGTCTTCTTTTATGTGCTAGCCATATGCTGTATTGTGACTACCAATTTTTGTCAACTACCATTCAAGCTGTCATTGCAACCAATCTTATATTGTTTCTGCTGTATTATGCCTACCAATTTTTTTGTCAACTACCATTCAAGCTGTCATTGCAATCAATCCTAGCTACCTATGTGCTTTAATATACTGTACCTACAATTTTCTCTCATCTTTT